ACCCCCAAGTCCCTCTCAGCAGGGCTGCTCTCGATCCTTTCTTCCCCCAGCCTGTACTGATACTGGGGGTTACCCCGACCCAGGTGCAGGACCTTGCACTTGGCCTTGTTGAACCTCATGAGGTTCACAGAGGCCCACCTCTCTAGCCTGTCCAGGTCTCTCTGGATGACATCCCGTCCTTCTGGTGTGTCAACCGCACCACTCAGCTTGGTGTCATCCGCAAACTTGCTGAGGGTGCACTCCATCTCGCTGTCTAAGTCATTGATGAAAACATTAAACAGCACCGGTCCCAGCACGGACCCCTGAGGGACACCACTCGTCACCGGTCTCCATCCGGACATCGAGCCATTGACCACTACCCTCTGGACGCGACCATCCAGCCAGTTCCTTATCCACCAAACAGTCCACCCATCAGATCCATAGCTCTCCAATTTAGAGAGAAGGATGTTGTGGGGGACCGTGTCAAAGGCTTTGCAGAAGTCCAGATAGATGACGTCTGTTGGTTTTCCCTTGTCCACTGATGCTGTCACTCCATCATAGAAAGCCACTAGGTTCGTCAGGCAGGACTTGCCCTTGGTGAAGCCATGCTGGCTATCTCGAATTACCTCCCTGGCCTCCATGTGCCTTAGCACAGCTTCTAAGAGGATCTTGAATGTCTTGAAGTCCTCAGACTCAATGTGAAGATAGGCTTACAGTTCCAATCTTTGATCTCCAGTATAAAATAGGACCAATAAAATATTATAGGGATTTATGGCTGACCTCTCACTCGAGCTGCTTCACACCTAAAATAACACTATGAGATGTGCCAGAAAAGAGGAAACTGTTTAGGTTTTCTTGCTTCTTAAAACCTGATACACACTCTTATTTCAAAAACTTTTTACTTCTATTAAATAGACGGCTAGCAATTACACAATAACTCCCCTGCTGGGTACATGGTTCAGGAAAATCAAATATGTGGCTTTATTTAACTTCTTTGGGAGGATTAGCATGGTGCTAACCTCTAGCAGAATCACAGCTGTCTTAGGGATCAGTTCCATCAAAGGAAAGCATATTTTCTACAAGAGTCATGCTACCATCTTGTTTCAGACAGTCTGGCTGCTTTCCTTTGCCCATCCGCTCTCTCCTTTTCATCTCTTACAATTAAAATATTGACCATTTCATCATCCAACCTAGTTTGCACTCTTAAAATACATTTTCTGCAGGGCAGAAGTGTGGGTAAAACAATAATCCTGACAGCTGGGCAAGTTAGCTGAAGAGCAATTGAAGATTACGGGCAACGGGTAACTTACGTTGGCATCACATGTCACCGACTGGTAGTGCTGGGGGGAAAATGCGCTTCAAAAGAAAGTTCAATCACCTTTTGAATTCAACTAAATTTTTGTTAAAACAGTCTCCTTTCTATACAAAAATCTTCCTTCTCCCTTTAAAAAAAAAAAAAAAAAAAAAATCACATGCCTTCAAACCACAGTATTTTGACTTGGAAATACTGCCACAACATCTTCCTGGACTACAGCTCTGCTGCCCTGCAGTGACATCCCCCCTGGGCCAGCCCCCATCTCCCATAGTGAGCTACGGCTGTTGAGCCATCCACCAGAGGTGGAAGCGGAGCACCGCAAAAGCCAAGGGCTTATCACTGGAGAGACTGTAGGATTGGGAAGGCTCTGGTGCCAGAACTACTGTTTCCATGAGATACGCCTTGCTTCCTACTCTTGGGGAACAGCAAGTGACTGGTAACTTGGTCCCCCACCACAGCACCAGTGTGCTGTTGGCCTCACCACCACCGACCCAGCTTGGGCACTTCTGCATTGCTATCATGGCTATTCCACACAACCCATACCCACAGAGATGTAAAATCCACCAGACTCACTGAGACCCCCTGAAGCCTTGCTATTTCTACCCAAGGAAAGTTATGGAACAGCTACTAAAGGTTAACAGCTTGATATCGAACCACTAATTTGATTTCAATAGTGTAAAATAAATAATTTTAACAGCTGGACAGTATGGAGAGGACACAGTAAGTTATTGGAACAAGAATCATTGCAAGACCCTCCCTGGACAGCAACCCTGGGAACATCCAGGTAGGTAGGGGAAGAATTGCTCCTAATCCTAAGTAGCAAGTAGGATATGCTTATTTATTATACAAAAGATGCCCTGTCATCCTAGAAAAGGCTGCAGAGACACGGACTTCAGCCTGACTGAATGGGAGTGTGGGAAGAGGCAGATTAATCTGCTCCTATGAGACTGCCTCAACACTCTTCACGCAGCTGATGCTTCAGGCAGACACAGGATGCTCACAACCAAACTTCCCGGCTTCCCTGCACACACGGTGCTGGCAGTATCTGATGAGCTAGGAAATGTTTTTGCACATTCAACTGAAAACGAGACAGGCACAGACCAATCCTGGATGTTTCCTTTCCAATAACATTAAACTTGAACCTGTTCATTTTTAAAGTTTAGAAGTCAACTTTAAACTTGACTTTAACATTTAATTCTGTTACACTAAAATCTGTACAATTTCAAACGTCTTTTCACTGCATGATGGAAGAACATATTTTTCCAGCATTTAGGATACCCAGACAAAAGAAAAGTCATTAAATATTGTTGTACCTCAAAATGTGAGATTGTACAGGGTGTTTTACACCCTACTCTACTATGCATCCACTTCTGGGAGGGTTTAGCTACTACTACCGCGATGAAGACAAAATTAAAACTCCACCACCACTATATCTGCAAATTTGAAGCCTGCAACAGCAAAGCAGACGAGCCAACTTTGGTCAGTCAGGCTTATCGCAGGCTCAGCACGGTGCCAATGCAGCTATGCAGCTCTGGGCCCTGAACTAGCTCCAGATCAGCAGAGTCCCGTTCACACGGAGCGGCTCCTGAGCCGGCAAGCCCTGACCACCCGGGTCCCTGCCCACAGACACAGGGGCACAAACTGCTGCTTCATCCCGTGCTCTCTCCGTAAGCTCCAAAGTCGCGGTCACGTTAGCTCTTGCACCAATTTACTAATTTTTGTAGGTTTGCTGCAATAATATCCAGATTTTGATTGCAGGCATCTGAAAATGAACCTTTAAAATGAATTTATGGTAAATGGAAGACACAGTTGTCAGGCAAAAAAAGAAAAAGTTGTCCTTACCTTTTGCACTAGGTAGACACTAGTTGCTCTTTCACTCGCTACTTTATCCAGTGCTGTTTCTTCCAGTACAAAGTAGCTTACGTCGGCGATGTGAACACCCACTTCGAAGTTCCCTGAAATTGCACAAGTCAGTCAGTAGGCTGCGGGTAGAAATGAACTGCTGACATATTTAACTCTGACCCCTCTCCCCCCGTCTCCCAGTGCTACCGTAACCTTTTGGCCTTATGCCTAGACCTCACAAAAATGATACTTCTGTCCACCTCTTCCATCTGAGATGAAAACTACGTTCTCTCAGGACACTATCAAATTCACTGTGGCTACAACATACGAGTCAATACAGGTACGAGTGAATCCTCAAGCACAGCAGTGGATATGTGAAAACCATTAAAAACCACGTGGATAAGTCTTTCCAACTAGGAGCTTGTAATAGTGAGCCCAGTCCTCATCCCTTTGATGTCAGACAGCAGTAAGCAAGAAATAGGGGACCCCATCTGACAAGCACAGAGGCAATGCAGGACACCGTGTCCCAGGCACGGAGCAGGAGGCCACACACACTTTTGGGTTCTCAGAGCTGCACTTGTTTCCACTTCACCCTGGTTGAGCCCAAATTGCTTCTGGGGACCTGGAAAGTCTTCAATGACTCCATACCAGGCTATGCAGCAGCGCAGCTTTCCACAAGCAAAATATTCCCACTGTTATCCAGCCTTCCTTTCAGATTAGGCTTTTTATCTTTAGAGTCCAGTCTAGAAGTATCTTAATTCAAAAGTTAGGCTAAAGAGGAGTACTACTGAGGTTTATCATGAGGTTTTGGCAATAATTTGGATTTGGAAGTAGCGATCATCCTCAGCTTTGGAAGTAATTAGTACCTTGGTCCAAGAAATTCTGGTTTGCTAATCCTCAGAGAAGCCTATTGACCTTTGTTTTCTCTGGAAGGCCTAGGCTAGATTTGAGGTGCTTATTTGTAGAATAGTTCTAAGTGCAGCGGGTTGCTAATTATAACATTTGGTTCTTTACGTAATAAGATATCACACTGGTGACAATCCTATTTGTTTATACGCCTTGCAAAGAATATTATCAAAGCCTTTCTCTAGAGTGTCACGTTTTTGAAGGCTAAATTGTTAAAAGCTGCCGTCATTACGCAGTACATCTGCTCGTGTGCCCTTCTCATGGGTACCGGTGCTAGATTTCAGCAGAGTGAGAACGGGACTGTATACAGGCAGGTTCAAGCTCCTATTAGGAGAGCCACCCAGCTCGCTGTGCCCCCAGCGCGGAGCTCAGACGAGTGAGCACCAACTCGCCCCGAGCAACTGTTTGAATTCGTAACAATTTTAACTTAACTTTACTGAGCCATGTTTGCACAGCACTTTTGAGTACGTAAAGTATTATCTTGCTTTTTTGTGCTGCTTTTGTACACTCGACAGAGCACAGATGTAAAAGCAGCAGAAACGCACACGGAAGCGCTGGGGTTTGTCCACATAACCTACAGTCACTGGAAGGTCCTACAGAGAGTAAATATGATGGCAGCAGGGGGAGAGGGCAATAATCCCATCACACACCAAAGGACAAATTCCACCACTCGTTAGGAAGCTGGGAGAAAAGACCGCAGATTAAATGGTTCACCTCGGAAAGCTGCCTACAGCTGTGTTGTGATATTATCACATGCCTTGAAAGCTGCTCTACATGGATTAGGCACCCAAGCCTGAAAGCCTGAAGACAGTAAGTCTTAGACCAACAGTTCAACCAACAAGTTTAATATTACACACACTCGAAGCCAACACACTCAGAAGGTAAAAAAAAATTGAATACTTTGAAGTCAATATTGTAATGTATTGACCCTGCAGGCAAATATTGACGAAAGGAAAAGGAGAGGGGGTCATTACATCATGCCTTTAATCGTACTTTAATTCAATATGTGCACTGTTACATACATGAACTTTTTGTCCTTGGTAGAAAATTGACAAACCAAGAAAGATCTCATTGCATGAGATAATAAAACATGGAGTTAGCCAAGGAAAACACATTGAGCGGAGTTAGGTTTCATTCAGGTTTCCCACCAGAGCTTCTAAAAGCTGGGGTCAGCATGAGCCCCCTGCTTTTGAACTTTTAATGGAAATTCTAAATATTTTCTTACATACATTGACATAATGAAAACTGGCAGCTCTTGGGTTTGTCTTGCTCAAGTATGAATCACCCTATCTCCCTCACCCCCAAAAAATTCAGACCAAGAGAACTCGAAGATACAGCACAGCAATCAACCAATCGGATTTCTCTCAAATCACTGCTTTTGAATGTGTTAGACAAAATACCAGCCTAAGCCTGCACAGAAATACCTGCCTACTTCTCTCTCCTGGTTTATTTGCTAATTAAAATGGAAGAGCTCTATGGATAGAGAAATACTATTCGATAGGATTCTCTTCCAGGTCCACAAACAGTTTTTCTAGTCTCATTAATTTTTATGACAAAGTCACAAAAGGAACATTTCATATTGTAAGTCTTGTGTAATTTCCCAAGGAAAAAAGAATATGTGGCCTGAATGAAAGGAAAAGAGAGTTAACCCAGCACTCATTTATTGAAAAAGTCTTCTCAGAGAGCAAAGAAAAGGGGGAAAGGGTGGACACCACATGGACCACACACCACAGGCTGCTACACATGGTCTACTCCACCTTTATTTTGATGAAGAAATCTACTTTTCCAGCAAACACAGGCTTAAAGTCTTGACATGTAGCTCTCCATCATGATAGACTTTATATCCTAAATTTCTTACAGAAATGAGTACTTTACAAACCACACACTTGCCTCACCCCAAATTTAAAATTCTCCTACAGTGAAGCTAAAGCTGCTCAACAACTCCTTAAGCTAGATATACACTACCAGTTTAAGGATTTTTTTTTTAAAAGGAATTTACATAAGAATGTACAGGAGATTAACCCAGACACTTCATATGCTGATATTAAAGCAAGAGCATCTATTTAAAGATTAAAGAAGGAAGCATCTTTATTAAAGAAGGAAGCATCTATTGCAATAAAAAACGCTGAAGGCACTTGGATGGCTTCTTTCACTCAGGATCTCTGGGATTTTTCATTTAAAATCATTTCATCTGAAAGTGGGTGAAAAATTGTCATCCCATTCGGACTCTGACACTACAAAGCTGCTATGTGGGAGACGTTTAGCAACAGGGAATGCAGCTTAGAATCAAGCAATACATATTTTATTAACCAGCTGTACCCTATTAGCCCCTCTCTGCAAACACAGAGACGCAGCAACAGAGGTGGATGGGAGACAGAAGCATTATTTGAAATTACACTACAGCATTGCAAAACCCAGTAATGAGGTCCTTTGCAA